AGTTTGAGAGTGAACTGCCTTGATATGTGTGAATGGCTTATGAATATTTTAAGAATCCAACAATTTTTTAGCAAGTTTGGGCCCATGCTAGACAAAAAGGACGGTGGCAATCAATGAAAAATGCTACTCAGCCATGTGCAAAACCAGGCTAAAAAACAAGAAGCTGAGATAGCAACACCTCGACCCTTAGATCTGAAAAAAAAAGTAAGTGAAAAAGGGGCTGAGGTTGAGCCTGTCTCAGTAGCAGGGCTGGGCAATCAATTCATATGCGTTTGTGGTTGTCAGTTCAATTTTAGTTTTTCCCACTTTTCATTTCTGCTCTTCAATATCTTCATATGTGGCCCTCGCAAGTGCATTCAAATTGCATCAAAGGGCAAAATAGTCATCGAGGCTCAACGGCATTATCATTCCTATATCCATCTCTGACAAAAATCTTTGTGGTTGTACCGCATAACCAAGCAAGTACTGTAGAAAAATAAGATGTGTTAAAAAAAAAAGAACTAATTAAAATGAGCATCAAATAGGTTGTTAATCTTTATTTTTTATTTTAACTTTTTAAAATAAAGAGTGAGTTTGACTTTCTAAATTTAGAGAACTAAACTTTCTTTCTAGCCTTAATGTATAATGATTGCATTTAATAAGTCACAAATTTCGACGAGTAATGTTATTTAACATCACTGTTGTTAAAACACTAGTTTATCTGGTACTAACACAATATATTTTAGCCTATCTGATACTAACACTAGTTTGTTAAAACACTATATTTCATTGATTCTATTATTTAATACTACATAAATTGATATTCTAACATCACTGTGCTAAATAGCATTATTAATTTCAATATTCTACTTCTTTAACTCTTCAAACAACGGTTAAATTGACTGGCTATTGACATAAGAAAAATTATTTTAAATAAAATATGAGGAGAAATTTATAAATGTTAATTGAGAAAAATATAAAAGAAGAGCCAAAATAGAGAGCATTATTGGAGTATTTAGAAGGTTTTTTTTTGAAAATTTCCAATTTTTTTTTCCAAGTTCCTTAAAAATGGGTTTCTATTTAGCGGACATGGTTATTGACAAGAACTCATTGAATCTATCGTTTGGACATTCATCACAGTTAGCAAGGTCTTGGATCAATTTCGTAAATCTATTTAAATTTTCTTCTAGATCAACAGAAGGATCCATCTAAAAAGAAAAAGAATTATTTTAGTAAAGAACATTTGTTAGGAACAATTTTAAGCTCATATTGAGCCTTCAATTCGGTCCAATGTTCTTTAATAGTTTTATTTTCTCCAATGGTTTTAATCACATTTTCAAAAAGATACAAGAAGATAGTATTCCGTGCTATTTCTTCCAATTCGGTCTTTTTTAAGGTCGTCATATCTTTTGTCAAAGAACCATTTAAGGCTCTAGCACATTTTAATTGCATTAAGATAGCTCTTATCTTTTGACTCGACATACTGAAATCTCCGCTTCCATCATATTGGTTTATTTCAAACTTAGCAGTTGCCATCATATATTCCAAAAACGATAAACTCGTTTGAACAAAAAATCCAACGGAAGACACGTGAAAAGATACTTGACAAAAAGGGGTTAAGCCGGCAGTAGTGCACACGGATGTATATTCTCAATCAGTAAACATATCACTCCAGTATAAAAAAGAATCCCAGACAGAGATTACAATTCCTATATTTCAATGATTTCTCCTGCAAGATCCTCCAACTATACCCCTGCACCGAGTTTATCTTAGATTCCCAAGGCCTCTTTAGAGCCTTTGGACAAAGACCATTCTTGGGAGGGAAATTGTGTAGCGTAAATCAAGAAATTCTAATATTTGGAATTACCAAACAATGAGATATAGGAAAGGTCTCACCAAATGAGTTCAAAGAACTCTGTTTCCTTCAATTAAGTTCACGTAGTTTTGAAGTTGATTTCAGATCCACAGTTTGCTCGACGATCCGGTATTGCAATTTACAAAACCAAGCTTTGATATCATTGAAAAGGTTGAGAAACACTGAAAATTAATCAACGATTTAAAAACTAATAACAGAACATTTAAAAGAAATTGCAAAAATAAAAAATCAACACAAAAGAGTTTTTTTGGCCGAAGACGACCGCTTCGCCCAATACCCTGTTGAGTTTCCATTGTAAATGGATAAAACTCGGTTGCATTGTAAAGCAAAAAATATGATAGCCACAATACAACACGTTCAAAAATCACAAGATCAAGTCATAGAGATTTATCTTTAACCAAAATCTTTGGATCAAAGCACCATCTACCCACAAATCATAGCAGAACACTTAGTTCTATCTCCAACGTCCACTGCTCAAACGAATTACACAGATTCTTTACACAAACTATTCATTTACACACTTTATTGAATCAAGAATGAGAAGCTCTAACACTAAAAATGAGGTTCTCTCTCTAAAAGGAAGCCCAGTCGTCGAACCTAAAGAAGATGAAAAATGAATCAACCGTGTAGCCAAACAGTCACTTGGATAGATATAAAATCAGAAGATCTAGAATTAGATCTGATGGTCACCAAGAGGCCAAGTGCCACGATCCCAATATAGCATCCACTAAGAAAAGTGCCATTTTGGAAACACGCTTTCTAAACCCCTTTGTAAATATTACCTAAATGGTATTTCTTTCCCACATTTCAAATATCTTTTTCCCTAAAATTTCGTTTTCATTCACTTACTATCATACCTTCCCTCGACGAATATTTTTACAGATTTTCAAAGCACGCCTTTAACAATGGATGGTCCAGGTTGGAAACACAACAATCCCAAATGGACCAATGCCTCGTTTATACTTAATTGGACCTCTGATTGCAAGCAATGATGGAGGCCGTAAAAGTGTTGAACATGAGTGTTTGAATTGGTTAAAGTTACAGCCCAGTAAAAGTATTATTTTTCTGTGTTTTGGAAGTATGTGATTGTTCACGGCGGTGCAGCTGGCGGAGATGGCCGCTGGTTGGAAAATAGCGGCCACAGGGTTGTTTGGGTAGTGCGTAATCCACCCGCGGATGACAAAACCAATACTCAACCAGTAGAGCCAGACTTGGATGCGTTGCTGCCACGAGGTTTTCTTTCGTTTAAAAGTTTAATTACTTGTAATGTTATATTCACCTCCCTACAGTGGTTGAATTAAATTTTTCCTGTCAAAGACAAATATTTGAATAATTTATAATAAATTGGTGGGTCGATTTTCAGGAAATGAGAACAACAAGACTTGATTATCCGTTACACTACAAAGTTAACTATCGTATTTAACGTTTATTTATTTAGATTTTGTCTTCAATAGGTTTCTTGGAAAGTAAAGATAGAGGGGCTGGTGGTAAATTCATGGGCTCAGCGAGTGGCGGATTTGTGACGCATTACGGTTGGAACTCAATTCTAGAGGCTATTTGCGCGGGTGTCTCTTGGCCACTCTAAGCAGAGCAAAGAACGTGAAGGTGGCATTGGGTTTAACTGAGTCTGCCAACGGTTTCATGACAGCTACTGAGTTGGAGAACCGACTTATAGAGTTGGAGGACTCGGAGAAACGGGAACTTCCTTCTTTTGTACATTTTTGTGGATAACCAAAGGGTTACTATATCCCTGTAACACTACTCTCAATTTGCTTTACTAAATGGGAAAAGTTGCAGTATTAGTCCAGGATCATGTTACGTGTACAATTTTATTTTTATTTTTTTACAAACTCCCTTACTCACTACTCACAATAGAAATGGGGATCACAAGCCAACATTTTTTAAATTCACGTGAGGTCCATTACTTTTGTGAGAGTAAGTATACCATTTTATCAACAAAATTTTGTACAAATATTTTTATCCACTAGTTCCCAACATATCGTCGTTGTAGTATTGGTTCCAATGTATCATCGTTGCAGCTAGATATTTTTCTATTATTAAAAAATGAGCGAGTTGGTCCTCGACTTCATTACAATTACATATTATCTAATCTTCAATAATAACTGTTTAAATCTCTAATAAACACACAATTCTAAAACGTTGGACTTTATAAAACTGAATTTTGCTTCTCATCTTGGACTGATGTTTAAAGTTTGAAGGAGGCATAATAATTTTATTATTTTTTAATATTATTATTATTTTTTTATGACGGGGGAACCCGCAGCCACTACCCTTCGGGTGCACACTGGGTAAACCCTCGGGCTGGCGTAATAACCTGCAAATCATGACAGCCAAGTAAATGTACTAGGTAAGTCATGTGCGATAGGCTTAACCGAGAATGTATTGGTAGGAGAAATCGAACTCGTGATCAAAGACCTCCACGCTCATTCATTCCACTAACTCGATCAGTCCATGAGGGGCAAGGAGGCATTTTTTACTATTACTGAAGACTGATTGTACGCAATAATGAATAATCAAAGTAAAATACCGACTTCTTAGGTTAAGAGTATTATTTACTACTGAAACAAATGGCACCCTTGGTCCTTAAAGTGGCTAAGCTCTGACATATGGGGTCGAAACTTGAGATAAGGCAAATGATGCATTTCACTTTTAGTACCGACCACACAAAATTACAAGAATAAATTGAGGAGATAATAAATTTATTTATTTAGATTTTATCTTGGTCGAATTCACTTTGGCACTAAGGACCCACGTCAATTTTCATAAATGGAAAATACGAGGCTTGAACTTAAAGATTTTATCTACTTAGTTACACCTCCACATCTATAGTAACTAAATTCTCTCCCCTTCGTCAAAAAGTATAAGATTTTCGCTTAAATAAAAATGAATTAGGCATACACAAAAGACCTGTTAAGCATATAGATACATTTGAACAATTTTTTCCCGACATAATTATTAGAATTTTGCTAAACGACCCGTGCCGTTCACCGTACGGATGACCGCACCCTTACATGACGCACGGATCCCACCTGAATAAAAAAATACCAACCCTACGTGTATGTGTGTGTGCGGTCACCCGCGCGGGTCATGTAGCCTGGTCCTAATTATTATATGATACTTCGTATTTCAGAAATTTTCGAAATTTTTATTGAAAAGCATAATTATGCGCAACTACAGTGAAGGATATGAATTACGAACACATCTTGCTAAAACATTCCATGGTAAATAATATATATTGCATGACAAATCTTGCAAGATCGGATACTCACATCACTTATATCGTTAATCTTGGCAATTTCCATGACTCAACTAACTTGGCCAAGGCAACAATGGATGTACCGCCTTCACTCATAGCTGCCTTTGCCTCTGCCTCTTTTTCTTTGGTGCGCTTTCTGACCGACTCACCTTCCTTCGAGTCCATCAACTCTCTAACTCGACTCTCGACCTCCTCAGCAGTGACAAACCCGTCTTCTGATTCGTTCATTCGCAGAGCCAACTTCAAGTCGTCCACTAACACTACCCTGTTGAACTTTTGTTCAGCGTAAAGAGGCCACGCCACCATGGGGACGCCCGCGCACAATGCTTCCAACACCGAGTTCCATCCACAATGTGTCACGAACCCGCCAACAGATTTATGTCTCAACACCTCCACTTGTGGGGCCCACGACTTCACCACGAAACCCCGGTCCTTTGTCCTATCTAAGAATCCACTAGGAAGTAGTGACTCCAGATCTGGTTCAGGAGGAGGTAGGAAGCGCTTGCTCTTGTCCTCAGAGGGTGGAGAACGCACCACCCACAAGAACCTTTGCTCGCTTCTCTCCAACCCAATTGCAATTTCTTTCAACTGCTTACCTGAAAGCAAACCAAGACTCCCAAAACACAAGAACACGACGCTTTGGCTTGGTTGCAAATCGAGCCATTTCAAACATTCGTCCATACTACCAGTTCTACCTCGTTCTGTTGCCAATAGTGGTCCTACACAGAAAACAGGTGGTGTCGGACCATCAGGATTGCAAGATCCTTCAGATATTGCTTTAAGAGATTTTGATTCAAGGGACTCGAATGAGTTTACAATAACTCCAGCTGACTTGGGCAAATGGAGAAAGAAATCTAGACAGTAAGCATATTCAGCCGAGGATCGATCAAGAATTGGATCTGGCATGTGTGAAGATGGTATGGGTGGTAACCCCGGAATATCCAAAAGTGAATTCATATCTTTGAAACTTTTAGTGGTATTCCGATGTATTGTGGGAACGTAAAGGAAAGAATCAAGACAACAGACACCAGAAGTGAAGAAATAATAAGTTGGGATTCCGAGTTCGGTGAAAATGGAGAAAGCCGGGGTGCAAAAGAAGTCGATTATGACGGATGTGATGGTGCTGGTGCTAGAGATCTCTTGAAGGGCTCGTTGGACATTAGGGTTGCTGAGGCGGAGGGTCTCGAAAATAACAACTTCCATGGAGGAGAAAGAGTCGAATGTAAGGGAAACAGAAGGTAAATGGTGGAAGGTGATGGAAGGGTTGGTGGCGGAAACTCGGTCAATATAGGAGGCGGTTGAGCCAGTGTTGAATGATGGAGGCACCGTGAGAATTGCAACGGTGAAGAAAGGGTGGTGGTTGAGTATGAACTTCCCGAACTCCACCATCGAAATCAGATGCCCCATGCCTGGGGAGGGATATAGAACAATAGTTTCCATTCTATGAAGAGAATGATAGCAAAACTCAAGACTCTAAGAAAACTTTGAACTTGAAGAAGAGGATTCCAAGTTAAATTTCACAAACTAGTGTGTATAGACACAAGATTACGTACAGTATTCCTCACACCGACAAAAGTTGATCAGGTTATCTCCAACTCTGCACCAAATTTTACATTATTTTGTACCAAATTTTGCATCAAACTTAGCCCACGTTTGGTCCCTGATAATTTTCATTTCATTACATTTCATTTTTCTCTTCTATCTTCAACCACACAATTTTCCATAAAATAATATTATACGTAAATCGAAAAATTTTCCTTCTTTTTTCAACCATTCATTTTTCAAAAAACACTATTTCACCCATTTTCATTTACACAAAATGGGGGCCAAACAGGGGCTAAAATTCATCTCTAATCATTACACAAAAAATTACACCAAATGAACAGTGTTTAACCATTTTCTTCCCTTTTTTTATTCTTTATAATTTATTTATTTGAAATATTATTTATTTAATTATTTTATAAATAGATAAATTACTAAATAAATAATTCCGTTAAAAAAGATTAGATTCATTAATAAATATAAAAAATACAGAACAATTAATAAAAACACTACAACAACGAAAATATGAAATCAAATTAGATTATCGTATGTATGTCGTTGTTTAATATATTTCGTATTAACTTTAATAAATAATCGTGTTTGTTGTGTTTTAAATTGTTTTCGTCTTTTAATTAATTAATTGATTATTATATCTTACATTTAAAATTTATTTTAAATACAAATAATATTAATATTAATAAAAATAACAATAATTTATTATATTAAAAAATATATAGCACAAATGACATAAATAATCTTACAAATTTATTTGGAAAATGTTAAATAAGGGCAAAAGAGACATTTAAAACTTTGCACCATTTTGCACCAAAATTGTGCAAAATCTGATGTTGCATTGGAGCAACTTTGCACCAAAAAATGGTGCAACATGGTGCAATGGTACAACCATTGAAGATACCCTAAGTGCCACTTCTTGGTTGACCACCCATATGAGCAAGACTCAAAAATTATTCGAAAGTTGTTGGAGGGAAATAAGTGATTTATGTGTAGGTTAACATAAAAAATTTAAGAATATAAAAAATAAAATTCTATAATAACATAAATATAAGAAGAGATTTAGAGAGCAAGTTTTAAAAAATAATGAAACGGACGTTGTCGTAAAATCGTATTACCTCTCTTATGTTTGGATACTTTCAACACTATACAAGTTCAAAATAAAAATTAGATAGCTCGCCATTAGTTTTTCCTCATGGGCACCATCACATAGAGATATAAATGATATCTCGTGTGAAAATTCATCTTCCAAGTTGTGTATTAAGATTATGTTTTCTAATTAAATATCACCTACTTTTATAGTCTAAAATCAACCCCCATAATTAGGAATGGAAATATGGCTCGGTGGCTTTGACTATCTGTGGCTTGACCCAAAAAAAGCCCGAGCAGGAGTGGTTACGATTTTTAGACACAGATAAATAGCTATAAAAAGGGGTCATATACTGCATATACATTGTGGTGTCCACCCCTCTCACGTAGAGGAGGGCCGCTTCAAATAAAATATAATTTATTCAAAGTGGACCCCCTCCATGTGAAGATGGTGAATATCGGGTGGACACCACTTGACGTACAAGTAGCATTATCTTGAAGAAAATGAAAATTACATTGTTAGTCTATCTTTTAGTCAATTTGGGTGTTAGTTTTGAATTACATAAAAGAGTAATTAGTTGGTCTCAATCTTTTAAAGTTGGTGTCTTGATAAACTATTGAAGTCATTAAACAATTTTGGTGGTTATATATACTTGTAAATGTGGACGTTTTTTGATTGGTAGATCTAGTTATCTTTATATATTTGACGAGCTTTTAAAAAGATTTTGAATTCAAGGTATTTGACGATTTAATTTTGTGTTAGAAAAGCTTCAGTAAATCGAGTATTTGAGCTGAACTCGAGATAATAAGAGGCACAGGTCCTTTTCACCGATATTATGAATGATTAGTTTAATAGTTCAAGTGGTTTGTCGTTGTTGATCGTGACCCTTGATGATCTATCTTGTATCAAGCTATTTGTTTCAATTGTGCAATAACAAAATATGACAAAAATTTTATAGCTATCTATCTGTGTCTAATGACACCACAACGCATTTGCAGTATATGTTGTTAAACACTTGATCAAGTTTTAATTAATATGATCTACTTGACATTGATGTGAACTTGTTGTCCTGAAAATGTGCGTGAGCTGACACGGGAAATTCACAAGGTTCTTTGAAGAATTCTCATCAGCAGCGACGCTAACCTTTAAGCCTAATGCACAGTAATTTGAGACGTTGCATGTGAAGTAAGATAACCCTAACCCCTTTGTGCATAAGAGGAACATTTGCTTGGCCCCTCCATGAATGCCTTGATGGTTTGATCAGAACAAATTAGACGGTCGTAATTCCCTCGATCCGTGTCCCTATTCCAATTAAATAAAAATAGCACAAAACCATACAGGAGATGAGAATATGAAGAAGCATGAGCAGAATTTTCAAGTCACATCAGACACTTGATCACCATTCAGTAAATTTTGCTCACCCACATAAGATTCATATACTTATCGTTTTTCTCCTATTGATTTATTTTCTTCTTCTAGAATTGTTCGCACTAATGTGTGGTCTTCCTTTCACGTTGAATATTTGCTTACAAACCGTAACAATGAAAAAACTTGCACAAAAGCTCACAAATTTATAACATGTGCTCGTATAATATTATGACATTCTTATTCTTCTCCTTCAATGGGAAACTATATAAAGGCAGATACACGTATAAAACCAAAAATGAAACTACCTAAAAGACAAAGATATTCATTTATTAATTACATGAATTGAGTAAACTATCCTAACTAACTACAATCAAGAGTAATTCTAGGGATGCACCATCTATACATCTCATGTTGACACTCCCCTCAAGTTAGTGCATAGATATCTATAAAAAGAGAGTTTTTTATTACATGATTTGTATTTACAAAATATTTTAATTCAATTTGATTTCTACTATCAAATGATTTTTCCATTACATTTTATTATTATTATTATTATTATTATTATTATTATTATTATTATTATTATTATTATTAAAAGAGAGAGTTTTTTATTACATGATTTGTATTTACAAAATATTTTAATTCAATTTGATTTCTACTATCAAATGATTTTTCCTACATTTTATTATTATTATTATTATTATTATTATTATTATTATTATTATTATTATTATTTTATTTTATTTTTTTTGACAGCTCTTATCCAAAATAAAAGTCAAAAGCCGTTCAAAAATGATTGGCTTGGTCCATTAGGGCACGCTAAGATAGGATAAACCTTTTCAAGTGTCTAAATTTGCGTAGATGGGTTGAGTTACCTGTCAGAATGTATATCATAACATGGAATCAAACGTTTTGAAAAAGGAAATTTATTGAACTGAGCCATGTTTTGGTTTATCTAAAATCAAATTTTTAGTAAAAAAATTGATGAAATGTATGATTGAAAAGTTGATAAAAGTTGTAAATCCTCTAAAATGTGTATTATTTATGTGATTACGTACAATATTCCTCACACCAACAAAAGTTGATAAGTGTCAGTTCTTGGTTGACCACCGATATGAGCAAGACTCAAAAATTATCCGCCCCGGGGCACATTCCAATTGGCAAAGGACGGAGTTCTTTAAGGCGGGCAATTCAGAGGTCGCGAGTTCGATTCATAGGGCTCTTGGAAGGCAGGCTTTCTCCTGGAAGTCAAGATATTTCCTGGAAGATAGGAGTTCTCCTGGAAGACAAGACGTATACATGGGTTTGACTCGCTAGGCACTTTGACAGTTCAGTTGGGAGGGCTCTTAGATCCTAGCCAATTTGGAGCACAATCCGCGGTTTACCTGATCTGCGTGAAGAGAGGCTGGATCGTAGGCCACAGGATTAGTCGCTGTAAGGCGGACACTTGGGTAAAAAAAAAAAAAAGACTCGAAAATTATCCGAAAGTTGTTGGAGGGAAATAAGTGATTTATGTGTATATTAACATAACAAATTTAAGAATATAAAAAAATAAAATTTTATAATAACATAAATATAAGAAGAGAGTTAAAGAGCAAGTTTTAAAAAATCATGAAACGGACGTTGTCATAAAATCGTATTACCTCTCTTACATTTGGATACTTTCAACACTATAAAACTCCAAAATAAAAATCACATAGCTCGTCATTAGTTTTTCCTCATGGGCACCATCACATAGAGATAAAAATGATATATCGGGATACCTGGATATAAAAAAAAAAAAGCCTAGTGATTCAAAAGACAGGAGTGAGGTTATCCCACGCCTTGCTAGCAAGCGCAATGTGGGGGTTCGATTCTTGAAACATGGAATTGGACTCCTTGTAGGCGCAGTATACAGGCAGCTCTTGTTCCTTGACCTGTTGGAGCACATCTAGCGATTTACCTCCCTCACAAAGCTCTAGGGGCGAGGTGGTGGGGACTCTCAAGATTGTGGTTCAATCTTTAAAAATGATATATCACGTGAAAATTCATCTTCCAAGTTGTGTGTTAAGATTATGTTTTCTAATTAAATATCACCTACTTTTATAGTCTAAAATCAACCCTCATAATTAGGAATGGAAATAGGGCTCGCTGGCTTTGACTGTTCGTGGCTTGACCAGAAAAAGCTCGAGCAGACCCGGCTCGAGACTCGAAGGCAGGAAGCCAAAGCTCAGGTCGAGCCCCAATTCGGGGAGTCAGCTCGAGTTGAGCCGGCCAGTAAAAAAAATATGTTGCCAATTGAGGTAGCTAAGAGGAGAAAAAAAATCCAGAAAATCGAGCCGATCGAGCCTTAATTTTTTGGTCGAGCTTTTACTCGGATAAAAAAAACCCTAGCCAAAGTTTCAGCTCGACTCGTTGACACCCCTACCCATAATGATAAAAATTAATTTAATTGAAATAAGTTACACTATAAAATTATTACTTTTAATTATGTATTAAAACAGAAAACTTGTTTGAATCTCATTTTTTTTTATTGAAGTATGTATTTTGGAACGGTAGGATTGATGGATAAAGTGTAATTGAACTAAAAAAGAAAACTGAAAAATTAAAAAGGTTTTAGCTTTGTTTGGTCTCCATTATGTTCAAAATATAATTTTCTTTTTTTTATTTT